CCAGGCCACTGCTGCCCTTGCAGTTCCGTTGCCCTGGGGGGCCTCGTCCCAGGCCACTGCTGCCCTTGCAGTTCCGTTGCCCTGGGGGGCCTCGTCCCAGGCCACTGCTGCCCTTGCAGTTCCGTTGCGCCAGTCCCAGGCTGCCGCCACCCTTGCACTCCAGGCAACTAAAAATTAGTGTTACAAATGACATCACATTTCTAATAATAATTACATGAAGACAGTCCCAAGTGTTCTAAACATGTGTACCGTCTATACAGGAAAATATTGATGGGTCAAGGGACACCAATGCATCAGAGCATGCAGAGAGCTCATACAGTAAAACCCTGTTTTGTTGCACTTCTCTCTATAGGAAAGTCACTTGACCAATACAGGAGTTGTTTCGAACATACCAATGCGCCAAAATATTTATAAGTGAGCTCATCTCTGTCAGGATGCATCTGACAAAAGAATCTCTGATCTTCTGCTTTTCAATTTCCTATTTATCCAATATACACATTTCAAATTGAATTATCTTAATTTTCATATTTTCTGTAATCGTAGTTACAAATGACTCCACATTACAACAGCCACCTACAGCCAATCCTTTTATTCAGAGTTTTTGGATGGTCATCTTTGGAAATCCTATTGTTCCTTAATAAAATTTTGACAAAAAGATCCCAATCCACATCCATTCTTATTCATTAATTGTTCACATTAGGATAGGTGTCCACATTGACTGAATGTATTTAAAAAACACATTTAAATGAACATTTAAAATACAATACAACATTTTACAGGTTGGCAAGGTGGAAACTCTTCATGAAACTAGTGATGGGTTGATGAGGATGGAATCCCAAAGGGTTTTGACACATTGCAAAACAGTTTTGAAATTGTCTCACAGAATACTGACACCTGCTGGACCTTTAAAGACACTACAGGCAGCTTATTTATCCGACTCAACTGAATTGATTTGATGACCTAGTACAATGATATAATTGAAATTATTGTAGGTTATATTGCATTTCATATCCATGTTTAAACTGAATATATGTTTGATATTTTTAGATGCAGCAAATGAATAATGTGGACATATATCACAACGTGAAAATGTGAATGCTGGTGGAGTAGGATTTTAAATAATTTTTAAAATGGGTTCAGTAAAAACAGTTCATAAACTAAGGATCAATTTGGAAAGTTCAGTAGGTTGAGTGATAGACGACAGAACGAGAAAATGAAAATAAAAGCGCAATAGCTGAAACGTTTCTATTCCTTTTAGGCTGCTAAAAAAAATTCTTGATAACTTTAAGAATAAACCACATGCAGCCATTTTGGACCCATCACCAATGACAACCCATCAATTACACAACGTTTTTCTTTCCTATAATATTGCCAAGAAAAATAAGTCGAAATGATTTTCTAACAAATTAGATTTTTTTAAAACAATGAAGCCTACCTGTTGACAAGCAGCCAAGCAACAGCAACACCAAACAAGGATCCACTCTCATACTGACTGCAGGAGGAAAAAAACTGAATCCACCAGCCTCTCTTTTCTGACTTAAAAAGGAAAACTCTCATCTCCACAGCTGGGATCACTTCCACTGATTGTATTGTTCCTAAATCAAGCACCAGGGGGCGCTGTGTTGTTTCTCCTATTCAATACTACAACATTTAGAAATTAGATCGTTATTTGAGCATATTTCAGCATATTCTACCCCTAATATTTTGTTTTTTACACATTAAAATGTGATGTGTCCTATTATTAATGTTCTCTACTTAAAGGGAAACAACATTGTTTAGAAAAAACAATAAGCTGTTGTTTTTTTTCCTTTCAGAAATGCCAGTAATGGCAATTTTATTGCCTCTTCAACCAGTAACCCACCTTGACACAACTGGCCAAGACTCGACAGACTGCTGTGTATTTAGCAAATATCTATTTAAACACATAATAGACAATAATACGGAAGAGGATTAGGGCCACTGGAAAAAAAAAAGTTAACTGATTTTTTTTATTTTATTTCAGTATAGTATGGGAAAAAAGTCAGAATTCTGAGATTAAAGTCAGAATTCTGAGATTAAAGTCAGAATTC